AAGAGTATCTTTCACCACCAACCCCAATAGGCAAATAGACAAGAGACAATAGATATATAAATACATAAAACATTTTCTTAAAATAAATATTGGAAAGATTCGTAGATACAATGATTTCCAGCATGTAGAGAATATGATAATATATGACATTGTCGTGACCTCGGATATTATAAGGTAGTAAAATTGTGTTTTGGTTTGGAAACCACGTCCGCTCAAGTGCTTTTAAAAAAATGATTAAAGGCTTAGTGAAATGTTGTTAATGGAAGCTTTATGCTTAACACCTCTGCAAAGTTTTAGCTAGTAAATACATTAAAAATATTAATATCAAAATTGAAGTTTTAGCTAGTATCCCGTTTAATTACAAAAATATTTTGAAATATTTAAACATGGATCTCAAACCAATAAAGTTTAATTTATATCTTAATTCTCATGTCCTAATTCATATTATGCATGCCGAAAAATATATATACATAAATGAAATTCAAATCATATTCTTAATAACAAAAAAAAAAATTCTTACACATTACGAATTTTTATATTAACTATGATAAAATCTTGTAACAATTAAATTATTATAGAGTTAAATTATCAAACAATAAAATTTACGTGAATAATATACAAAAATCTATTAAAATATTTTATAATATTTTATCAAACATTATATATAAATCTATGATTAACAAATGTCATTTATGTCATTGATTTATTTTTCATAGAGATCTATATTCGTCAAATCTTACACTTTTGGATCTTAACAGTAAGTATATTATTATATTTTATAACATGTATAAACTTTCATTTTATATAATTTTTTTTTTTAATATTGAAAAGTATAGGTATAAGATTTATATTTTCTTTGTAATATTCTATAATTATGTTTACAAAGTAAATATGTTTATAGATTTTTTTTTCTTTAGTATGTTTGTGTATATAAATTTTAACATTGAGATTTCCATATCTTTTTAATATTTTTGTTTTTCAATTTATAAAAAAAAAATTTCTTAATTTAAATTTTTATTTCCTTTATAATTTTTTATTTTTTATTTTATTTTTTCTATTCTTTCTATTTTATTTCCTAATTTTATTTTTATAATTTGTTTAAACTATTTTAATTATTGTTTTCTTACTATTTGGGATTATTAGAATTTTTCTTTTTTACTATTTGGTTAGTTGTTTTAACAATTATTTTGTTCGTTTTCCATTTTTAGTTTTAACACATGTTTTCATCTGATCAATATTAGATACATGTTGTGATCTGGTGAATTATAATTTTGCTTAAGTGTCAAAACTTTCGTCGATAATATTTTCTTACTTGATTATTTCTCCCTACATTTTTCTAGGATTTACACTCTATCTATTTTTTTCTTAATTGAATTTGATAATTAATTTAAACCATTAGATTTTTTTTTTTAATCTAGCTAGTGTGGACTATTATAAATTTTTCCTTTTCTCATAATTAGTTTGAACAATAAGAAATTTTTCTTCTTTACTATTTGGTTAGTTATATGGGGCAATTACAAAAATGCCACTTTTTGTGTGCATATTTGCAAGAATGCCACTTAGGGGTGCCCATTTGCAAAAAAGCCACAAATTATAGATTTATAAAGCATATATCTTAAAATTCTAAACCCTAAAAAATGTTTTGACCCCTAAAACCCCATGTGGACGGCGGATCCTACACAGTTAAATTTGTCAAGGGTTGAAAGGAGAACTGAATCTTCTGAATATGAATTACGAAGCAAAAGTCAAAGATATGTTTTATTGATGTTTCTGTTAAACTCTGATTACAAATGAATCCATCCCCTTTTTGGGAGATGATAATGAACTATATATAGTTCTTCTAAGTAAAATGGGCCGGCTAATAAATGGACCTGGCCATTAAGCAATATATTAAAATTAGGCCCATTAATCCATTAAGTCCATTGTGTTAATGGGGTTAATGTCATTTTGGGCGACGATTTGTTTGTTGGGTTTTTTGAATGAACATTTTGGTTTACGGGCGTGCATGTATTACAACGACACGACCGCTCCTATAATGAACATTTTGCGATGATATCAGCGAGGTTTGCTGGGTTTTAGGCAATCACTTGGGATTACAGAAGTGTTTCTTTCTAAACACTTCCACTCCTATAGTGATTACCAATTTATATAGCGCGCTTAACCCGTGGTGTGTGTAAAAGTCAGATCTGGATGATAAGATAAGTTCGTCGCTGTGGCCAGCAGCGACGGTGATAGAGTCTGATTAAGTTAAGACTTAAGTAATCCGTGATGGATGTAAATGAGATGGAAAGAGAAGTAAGCAGATTCTTGATCTTTATTAATCATTGCATTTATTTCAG